ACACATGGTCGGCTGGTTTAGGTCAAGAATGCCGAGATCCGTGTCGCGCCGCGCTGTGAGGGGTCAGGGCTACGGGAGCACGCAGGCTTTCACACGGCACGTCCCTCCCTGAACAGACGGTAAAGTGCCGTAGTCATGAACTCGAGAATTTTATAGCGGAGTCCAGAATTGCAGTTACTGCACTACACAGTATGGCTGCTTTATGAACGACTTTTATATAAAAGGGGGAATGACCCCAAAATAACGACATTGTGCTTCCCGCTCCGCTGAAACTCTCCTTCGATTCCTTCAAGATAATCGACTGTCAGTTCGGAAATCGGTCTAGACTGAGAATCAAAGATGATGAATTAGGATGTCAAGACTCGGTAGATTGACAAAGACTAGTGTGCCCCTCTCTTTGTCTCGCCATCATAAAGGGCAACACACATTGTGCCGTATAAGCGTTAGGTCTACTGTAAACCCCACAATGTTCTTGCCTGCCCAGCAGAGTTTATGTCGCCCAATTTTGATCAGACATTTGGTAAACTGGTGGAATCGAGACTGACAAATTATTTTGAAACATATCCGTCACTAAAGCTGTTATCAGAAAAAGTTCAAGATGCAGACTGTTGTAAGACAAGTTGTGAATTCCAAGCTAGGCTAGAAATCAGAGGTCATATCGAACCAATATCACATTCTATGACTGTGTTGAAAAATTCGGATACATCGGCGTTTTACTCATTATCTTCAAATCAGTTATCATCATGACGGTTCCCCTTTCGGTTACCGAATTGGACGACGTGAGACACATCTGGGACTACAATTTTTCCCCGTGATTTCTGTAAACTTGGAACGCCGTGGGAAATTGAACTGCTAGCCCAGGATTTCTAGACAAATTCTTGGTGGTTCTCTAACGAAAGTCACCTTCCCCAGAATTCAGTAGGCCATAGCTAAACACCGAGGCCAAGACCTTGCTGCGGTCTACGGGGAGTATTCCATCCACCCAGCCGGAGAAATTAAGCCGTTTCTTGGTGCACTTGCTGGGGGGAAATTCGTAAATTACTCATTTTTTCTCACAAAACCTCACTTTGGAGCGACTTCAGTTTGTCAAAGAACACTAGCTGTGACGTCCCGTATAAGATTAGGATGGGCTCCAAGATCATAACTTGAAACAAAAGTTGAATTGCAGCCTACCAGACGAAATTCCTTAAAGCATCTCTTACCTCTGAACAACCGTTTGCTCAACATGAGAAATTGAAAACAACTTTGAAGCAAACCGTGTTGTTATTCCAAACAACAATACCAATTTGTCTCCTTTGACGTTCTTAATTCTTGTACGTTTCTTGAAGGTTCGCGATCGTTTTGACCGATCCTTTAATTTTCCTGTTCTTTTGACATGTTGTTGTCACCCAATGTGCTACTATTCTTGCTGTCTGCTCTCTTTGCTGTCCTTGAGGCTACTGTTGAAATATTGAACTCTGACACAATCTTATTGATGTCTTAGCTTCTGCTAAGTTCAGGATACTATTCATGCTTTGATATCCTCGCTACACAGACTTTTTAATAAATCATTTGCCCGAGTGTCGTACATTTTTCGCCATCTTTGATACGCCACTTTTAATATCAAGCCGTGTCAGGAATGGACATTGTTGCTTATAGCTACTGCTATTCACCGTCAGACGCTAATGCTAACAACCGAAGGCGTAGCCACAGAAGTATCCATTTAATTTAAGAGATGGATTATGGCGGACCGGAGATATGGTGGGAAATTTAGTGTAGAGTGCAAAGACAACAGTATACCACCGTCCGATCGCTTTTCGGTGATTTGTCTGCCCGTCGACCGTATATAGTCTTGATCTCAAATAAATGACTATTCCAACTTTGGGTTCACTGCACCAGCCCAATTCCTGACTAGACAAAGGAAGAGGAAATTCATTATCAACGCTTTAGGGCCTACTCTGATAACGTTATACTGGGACGAGCTGAAACATCACGATCCATCGCTTTTTAAATTTCAGAAATAATTTCTATTTTCATTTTATTAGGAAACGTCTCCAGCCACTGTTTCGTTGCTGACTGGAAAAGAATATATAGAGAAACTTACGAAGGTCTGGGTTCCAATCTAAAATAAAGAGAATTCTAAAATCTACCGAAATAAGGCTCTTGAAATTCACGCAGGAATCTTATTTTCTTCCGTTACACTTTGGTAAATAACACGCATGCACATCTTCGTCTGTTTTGCAGTTCTGGTGCTATTTTTGCTGGTTTTATTGTCCACCCACTACAATAACCTTGGTGGTTTTCTTCCAACTTCACTGCTAACGGGTCATGCGCTTATTACAAAGTCTGAATTACGCAGCTCAGAGAAAGAAAATGACTCCACATTAGGTGATTTCAAATGTTGTTTCAGGAAATTAAGGTACATTACATATAACAAAATTGTTTTCAAACTCCGTGAAGGAAACCTTTGCACCCTTAAAATGCTAGAGCTATAATTTTAACTGAACAACAAGTACCATCGAAATATTTGAACCTGAGCTAGGCAGTGGAGGGAGAGAGTCCTTGACATTTTAAAGACCAGAATTTGGCTGATTCTGGCAGAAGTGCCAGAAGGAGCTTTCGTTTCAAAACGCTGCTGAAATAATTAGTTATAATTATGGCATTTAATTTCACAAACGATTCATGAAATGATCACAGAATAACGCCACAATTGTCTGTCATTTGCAATACAATGTATGGTATTAAATTTCCATAAATTTACAGGATAGGTGGAAAATTGAAAGACTAATGTTGACGTCAGTTACCCTTTTTAGAGCAATTCCACAAAAGCAATGCTCAGAATCATATACAGATTCCAAGCCCTTTGAGTTATCTGTGTGCCTGCACCACGTGTCTTTCCAATATTGTTTGCTATGCTTCATAGAACAAAACCTTTTGTTGAGGGCCAGCGGTGCGTGAATCCAGTTCTGATGGAAGAAATTCGAATAGATACACAGATGCAGAGAGGGTGCACTATGGTAATTTTGACATGATGTGAATTCAGTTTGTCCTTTGGACAAATGCGATGTTCTATCGGCGAACCTATGAGAAGTGATTATTTGAGAGTGTTAGACAAACGAGAGCCTTTTTGAAATTGAACATCTCTGATATGGTCTTGTTTTTTGTCATAACAGTAGCAGTTTGTATTCATCCAAAGGAACGTCTTTGATAATAAGGCGTTCTTTTTCTTTTTGCCCAGGGAAATATGCATATTCTGCCAAAAAATTTCCATAACTTCATAATGTCAGTTTTTCGTAATATGGTGCATTTCCAAAAACGGAATCCTTATCTTTCCTGGCATCTGAAATATTTATGTTCATATGTTTCAAAATGTGAAGCCAACAACACCAATTGCTGTTGGAGAGATATTTTTATATTTCCGATGAAATTCAGGCAAAATAACATTTCATGAAGATTATCTCCCGAACGAAACCCAAATTTACCGGAGGTACTTCAGCATTGACCAGACGTGCTGGATCTGCTGTTACCGTGGTGATCCTGACGTCATTAATTGGGTCACACGTTCAACATTCGGAGCAAGCAATACTGAACTTCGCAAAGTTCAGCACATGGGCTCAACTCTTGAAAATGAATCAACGTTAGAACCAATGCTTTTCAGACGGAAATACACTTTGCCAAAAAATTATAGGGCTTATTAAATTACCCCGTTTAATTGCTTGGATTAGACCTCAGTCTGCCTTTTTTCACCGTCGAAGGGGTGTCTCGTCTCCATCTTTCCCAGGATAAAATCTGTTTATCTTGGCATTAAATCAGTCATACGTGACAAGGCGATTCTAATGGATAAAATAGGTGTTTTAGCGCGGCCTTGCGAGGACCCAGGTTATTTTTGGCGACTGTACAGGTGTTTCAGCATCATTATGAAGGTGGATGTTTCATTCATTATGAATGTGTTTGGCTTATGAAATGAAGCTAAAATACTCAATTATGAAATTTTGGCCACTTTTTCGAAAAAGGTCGTTGGCAAATACCTTAAACTTAAATTGTATGTATCTTCCTATCCGGTGTCATCGTATTGATGATACTAAATTTATTTACATATTCTAACTGGAAGATTGAATACTCATACCAATAAAGGACAACTTGCCTCAATATTTCTGCTTTATTACCAAACAGTTCAATTAAGGGATGATTAACCAACATAGATCAGCACACATATCAAACGGCTTACCGTACAAACCAACGTCATGCAATAATGTGCTTTATATAGTAACATTAAAAAAAGTAATTTACATGTACTACCAACACGTCAGCAAAATTACGCCGGTACAAAAGTGTTAAAGAAACAATTTTACACTGTGACAAGTGATCCATACCGGTAACCACGTTTTATTAATTAAACAATGGAAGTGCTATACATGTGAAGTATCCTATTTTTAACGAGATAAAACATTGACACAAGTGTATTTCAAACGAGCATGGTGATGTACTTCAAACATTTGTTCATAATTCGGCTTGCCGACAAAGCCTCTATGCAAGTGTAAAAAAAACTGACGTCAAGCTGCCATCTTGTTCCCTCCTACTTCAAAATTGTCTTGCGCTTGTGATGTACCGTCTGACGGGAAGTAAGAAAACTTATACGGAGCACATTATTCAGTGATCTTCTTTGACAACCTCTTCCCATGGGTTTCCCACCTTTTATGTCCTGATGTTCACTACCCGTTACCTCTCTCCATCTTTCACCCCTGTTGGCTCTATTTACACCAGTAATTGGTCTAACATCTTCGATATCCGTTCTAGAGGTCTCCTGGTGTCAAAGGTCGAAAGCTATCAAGGAAAACAAAACGATCCCATCATCAAAAACGGAACTTACAGGAAACATGCTAACTGGCACCGGTAACTAAAGCCACGGAAAATATTTCCAAGTAGCAGTAGTCAAAATCCTGGATGTCGTTTTATCCGTGAGCAATACTGAAGAAACATGACAGACGGAATGTGAGAAAAAAAGACTTCTCAGAAGAATGACATTCACAATGTCTTTGTTCTGCTTGATACTTGTGGTCGTCTTGGTGAATGTTTTATTCAAGCGAATCACGCGATTCTGGACCGTGGAACTACCCGTTTGCTAGGCTAGAAGCTAAGTATCCATACAAATGGCTTTTTGTCGACCGAGTAACTGAACACTATACAACCTGGAACTCGGTCAACAATGAACCCCGTGAAAACGTTGAAGTGTCCCAATAACTGCGGATTGAATTATCGCTCACCGAAAACGAATGATACGGGCACAATGAATGCATCTACTTAAAGCAGTTCAGCTACTTATGAGGGTTGGATGAAGACCAACTCACACCTAACGTCTACAATCTGCGTTTACTGACACACTGTGGAGAATAATGTAGCGATATTTTTATAAGCAGACACAACGTTGAATCAACGTGAAGGTTTAACAGAAGGCCAGCGTATCAGCGTGTCACTGTCGCCCTTTTGACCCCGTATGCTCGCGGCCTTTCCCGGCCGAGTGGTGTGGGTATCTTCTGGTTGAAGCAACACTTCTCACGGGTACAGCGTAACATACATTAGCTTACCCCTTTGGCAAAACACATCAATACATTACAGTTTTTAACAAGAGGTGTTCTACCATTACAAGAAGAAAACAGTGTACGTAACAAGCATCAGAAACAAAGCATATTTAAACGTCACCTGACTTTCAACAGGATTGATAATGTTACTTCCCAACTTTCATCCAATCTTAAATTAGCTATATGGCCCGCGTTCCAACAACTACAAAACACTGACAGTCCACAATTAGACAGAAAATCTTGTTTGTTATGAACTGAAACATCAATTTTCTAGTACATGTACGATTATGTACAAGCCAGTCTTCAATATTGTCCACAACGCACCTTTTCAAGTTACCCATTAATTGATTGTCAATCAATCGAATGATCAATGGACATTTTTTCGACAGAAGACGCTCTGTCCACAAGCGGATCCAGGTTGAAGAGGCGTGTTCGCCCTGTACCTTGGGAATGAACATCTATTTATGAGATTGAGATACATAATATTGCCTCATTGAGAAAGACACACCCCTTTAATCATGGGCAGGTCATCTGCCCAGTGTTTCATTGAATCGAGAAACATATCCTTTCACCTCAAAACCATTTGAACCTAGTCACCAGTCATCACTCTCAGTGAAGCAAAACTCGGACATCAGAATCAAATCAACATTACAAATTCCACTTTCTCCTCCCCCGATTTCTCCCCGCGGATCCGCCCACTTCTCCATCTAAACTGCACACAATCCAACACTTGAAACGCTGTTAACAAAATCCATACGCTAAAGCATGTACAAGCAGCAGTCTATACTTTGACTGTCCGTGACTTACATCAAAAACGGCGTGTTTTTCCTTTGACATTCAATAGGTATAATTTCCATACACCTGATAAAATACTAATATACATACAGTAATATACATGAGGTGTAAGCCTTCTCGCTTACGAGTGGCAAAGCAATTTCAATGCAGGTAAAACGACAAGTTTCCTGCATTTGCTTGTAAATGATTCACTGTGTATCTAATGGCCATAGTAAGCAGTATCATTTCTATCGATTTGATTCATTCAGCACGTACAGACCTGTACAATACATAGACTGGTCCCGTAGGCGCCAAAACACAATGCTATATTTTTTCTTGCTCGCCAGATTTTGGCCTGGAACAAGTTCCCAATAGTCGTATTTCCTCCGCCGATTAAAGAAGAAAGCACGCACAAGTAAAATTCGCCTTTAATTTCTCCTGCCTGCACAATCTCGAATCAGTTTCCATCATCGCGAAATAGACAAATAAACAGCATAAGGAACAAATAAGCAATTTGAGGCGAGATCTACCCACTCTTTTATCTTAAGCGACCGCTCTAACCGCTTTGACAAAACATCTCAAATGGGTGCATAAAAATCATACTCCTTACCCTCCGTTATGAGCGCGTAAACAAGAACTAGACGTGTATAGGTGAATGACGAGTGACATTACACAGGGCTAGAGCGTCAAGACACATCACTCACATCATTATAATATTACAAGTCCAAAGACAGTCCGGCCTATACTCGCAGCACATAAGCTTTCTTTGTTTACATTTAATATCATTTTGATCGTGTTCTTTACGTACTTAAATTCATGTCGCACACTGTTTTATGGTGACGAATATTAGTGGGATTCTTGCTAAAACGACGATTCGTTACGCGAATTGTTGTAATATGGAAGCAAAGTCAGACCTTGGAATTTGAATGAAATACGTGATTTTGGTTTCTGTAGCCAGGCCGATGAACGATGCTGTGTTGCCATCTCTGGTTTGTGAATTCGGGATAACAAAGATTTCAGTGTTTACCCCAGCAACATTGCCGCCGTTCTCGGTGTCATACAAATGAAATTATGGCGTGGATGAGAAAGTTACGAATAAACACCTTATGTGATACGTCCCCAGGGTAATGATACATCAAGCACAGCTCTGAAAGAATCCGTCTGGAGTGAAACACTCCCTGACCGTGATGGTAAAATCTCGGGCAGTGACGTCAGTCACTACGATGTAATCAAGGTTATGGGGGTGGGCGGGACTCCAGAATCGATGGGCAGGCGGTGGAGAGGGATAAGCTTTGGGGCGTCTCGTCACGTCTGATGATTTGGTGACCTGGGTTTTCTCTACTGTTGGGGGCTGTGCAGCACTCCGGCCCATGCTAAGGTCAAGAGGCACGTTGGGGTCATATGTTGGAGGAGGTTGGGTGGAAGTTGTTTGTGGAAGTGTTTTCTTGCGCAGAATCTTTTCCGGGGTGTTCTTAGGAGACCCTGGCGATGGGGAAATGGAAGGACGACCTTTGACTTGCTGTCCCTCGGTGAGAACCGAATTACGAATGGGCGCCCGCTTGGGAATATGCAATCCGTCCGAATTAGTCTTGACAACCGAATTCATTACTCGGTCAGTGGGGGTAGATTTGTTTCCGTTGGGTAACCGTTTGAGATTGGAAGCTTTGTCCCAATTGGGCGACTTCATTGCAGGGGCGATATTCTTTACTCCCTCTGATGCAGGTAGACGGTCGGCAGAGGGGAATCTGGGTGTGGCTGTTGGAGATTTTGTGGAAGGGCATTTTTCCGTCGATGCCAGTTTGCTGGAGATGGGAAGTTTTACCAGTAAGGAGGACGGCTTGGAAGGAATCGACAATTTCTTAATTGGGACTCCAGAGGTCGATGACCTCTCTGAAGTTGATGGTTTTCCGGGCGATGCGGGCTTACTAGCAGTGGACGGTTTTATGGAGTTGGGTGGTTTGACGAAAGTTGGCGTCTTTCCATGGTAGATGACTGAGTTGCCATTGGATAATCGTTCAGAGTAGGTGAGAGTCTTTGTTGCAACTGGCTGTTTCGATGAAACATGTGAGCCGCCATTGCTGATTGGCTGTTCCGCAGTGGGCGGTTTCAGGGAAGTTGGGGGTTTTTCAGTCGAATATGTTGGTTTATCGACACTTTGCGGTTTGGGAGGGCTGGACGAACGATCCGATTGCGTGGAAGGCTTGTCTGAAATGTTACACTTCTTGCCACTGATCTGAGCATTGGAAACGAGCAACTTTGGGAAAATATTCTGTCCATTTGAAATGGAAGATTTCTCAGTTAAGGGCTGGGTGTTAAATGCAGGCGGCTTTACATTTATGGACGGTCGATCGGATGTGGGTGGTCGTAAACTTGTGGTTGATTTCTCACTTATCAATGATTGTTCGTTCATCAGCGTTTTGCCAGAAACGATTTGCTTTTCTGGTATAGGCGCGTCTTGTTGTTGGCAAGTGGAGACCTTTTCCGATTTAGGCGGGCTGGTTGGTACATCTGATAATTTAGGAGAGGTGGGGCTTTCGGGTGTTGGCGGGGGTTGGGGAGTGGGCGGGTTTACATGATTGGCAGGTCTTTCCGATTCGGCAGGTGAAGTGGACGTGGATAGTCTGACAGATGGGAATGATCTTTCGGGATTAGGCGATCGTTGGGGATCGGATGATCTTTGAGGGTACTGCCTATCAGAAGCAGCCTGCTTGTCCCGCGGGGATTCCCTCTCAGAACTACTTGGTGATTTTTCTGAAACTGTGGTTTTAACAACGACTGGCGTTTTGGCAGATGTGCATGACCTTTCCGATTTGGGCGATTTTTCAGAGTTGGACAGTCTGCCAGGGCTTGTAGCCGAATATTGTCTCGTTGAAGTTGGAGACAGTGCTGACGTGGAAAGTATTATGGAAATTCTATTACCGTCCCCTTCAGAAATTCTGACGTTCGGTAATTTTTCTGGAGAAGCTGATTTCTTCGGGGAATGCAATCCAGAGGTTAGGCTTTTAGATGGCTTTTCGGGAGTGGTCACGGCGGCCGTACTTCTCACTGTGTTGTCAGCTGAATTCTGGTTACTTTTGGGTGAGATTGCTGACTTTTCCGTGGCTGTCAGTGCAGCCATCGATTTGTCAGAGATGTGTAAAACGGCAAGAGGTTTATCAGAGGGTAACTTAACGGGGGACTTGAGTTTCTTATCGGGAGACGCCTTGACAGAAATGGCGGAGTTGGAGTCGCTGTCGTGGAAATCCCAGACTGTGGAATCAATCTTGACAGCAGTACTTAGGTGTGACTTCTTCTTTTTGCGAGATTTCTTCTTTTCTCCTTTGGATGATTTATATTTCTTGAGTAATCCTTCCTGTGTGTGCTCAGACGAGGTGCGGTGGCGACGTCGATGCCTCTTTTTATGTTTTTTCTTGCCACTTTTTTCTCCACTGCTTTTTTTCTCCTTGGCAAGTGAAGATGAAAGTTTGCGTTTCTTGGCCCGCATCTTGTCTTTTCTCCGTTTCTTAGTCTTCCTCAGTAAGCCTGTCAACTCCTCTTTAGGCCTGACTCCCTTCGAACGTTTCAACTTTTTGCCGGCTTTCGTCTTGTGTCTGGATTTAAGGGCGTGGCCGATTTTCAAATCTCGCGCTCCATGCGCGCGCTCGGCCGACTCGCTCTTTGTTTTTCCTACCGAAATGTTTGCCTGCTTGTTGCCATGGCTACCGGATTCCTTGATGGAAGTCTGGGCTGTCCCTACTGATGCATTGGTCAAACTCGGACCGCAATTCTTTTGTCCGCCTGGCACCACACTACATGTTTTCTTTACAGGCCGTTCATCGTCGTCATCATTATCATCCTCGTCATCAGTAGATTCGTCCGCGGTGGCGGCCACCGCATCGCTACCACCGCTACCACCACCTATACCGCCACTGGTACCGTGGGAGTTACCGCCCGTACTATTGGACGCCCAACCCGCGCCAGGCGCGTCTTTGTTCCCGGGAGCTGTGGGCTCATCGCCGGCTACAGCCGAGGCGTTTCCCGCTGAGGTCGTGGTCTTGTCTTCCTCTTTGGGTTCAGCTTTGAGTTCCGTATTCTTCAACAATCCCACCCCGGACTGAACCTGAAATGTGAACAGAAAGCGTTATTGATGCTGGTCGCGTTCCTAATCGTATCGCGTTACTATTCATTGTGGCTTTTCGGCAACAAGAGATTTCAGTTGGAAGGGGCGGGGTTTTCCAGGGCACAGTTGGCGATTTTGTCAGTCAGAGAAAACAACGAAATATCCATCTTACCTCCCCGTACGTCCTTTTTCTCTTCCTGCCTTTCCTGGCAATTGCTGATTCGAGTTCTTTGCGCCTGTAGTGGGACCAAGAGAGTACAGAGTAACAGTGAGTGACGATGGACAGTTAAGAATAAATTTGCAATGAACGGGTTTGCCATAGTGGGCACATAGTGTCTGCCATATTGACACGGACTGCTACTTATTATGTACGGGCACGTACACACGCACTATGCAAAAAAGGGCCGGCAAACAGGGCGACGGCGCATAAAATACTCGTAGGGCGCATGCATACCTTTCCTCGTACACTTCCACCAGGCGTTTGTCCAGGATATTTGCCTCTGGTTCCCACGTGCTGTACCTGCGAGGGGCGGGTGATAGGAAGAGAAAAAAGACATGGAATGAATTAACACTGCTACACCCATCCTATCGAATTCTGGTCTAGTACACAGCCCTCGATAGCAGAGGGATGCAAAGCTGGACAATAAATACACCGAAAGAAAAATAGTACTACTTACTTCACAGACCAGCCTTTCCACTTGACCAGATATTCAGGCTTTCCCTGTGGAAAAAAAAAAGAGAAAATACAAAAGAACGCCGGGTTGAATTCGTGTGAGTGGTTGACTGCAGTGCATCGGGTGACGCGCATTATGCAGCGTACTGGCAACGGATAAGATTGCACACTTAATCCACTTCAGCAAGGCTCAATATTATAGCGCGGTGTAGCCCACACAAGGTTCGCTACGCACGCAGCCGCGACGCAATATGGTCGAGAATCGTACTATTTTACTTGCCTTGCGAATTCTACGATTAAGCAAAGATTCAGCGGCGTACACTCGCTCTCCAATCTCAGACAACTCCATCTTGGATGACAACGTTCGGGTTGTGATAACAATGAAGGGAAGACGATGGAGACGATGTGCGGTGATTATAGTGACTCGGCCACCGCACCGTCTTGCCTCTGTGCTGAGTGTATGTGAGTGCACTGTGCAATGCTTTCTTCTAGCCCAGTCAAGCTGTTCTGTCTCACCGTGAGGCTGCTGGCATGCGCGCCGATAATCAGCAAGGTCGTTGAATACAACTGGGTGTGTACCGCGCTGCTACGGCGCGAAGGTACGGCCTTCTGCCTAGGCCAGCGGATGCAATAATGACAGCGCGCCGTGTAGACCACAGCGTGGTTGTGTGTAGTCAGCGGCGTGTGTGTTGCTGGCATACACACACGGTGTACGGTGGTACGGTCTGTCTGCGCGCAGTCAACCCCCGTTGATGATGATGGCCCATACAGCTTTACCCCCGTCCACCGTGGATTGTGTCTGCGGCACACACAGCACGAACTGGCCCCTAGCCTAATGCGCTGCCGGTTATTAATGGCCAGCCCTTGTGCGTGTTGATGGACCGCAGTGCCGCGATGGAATTCGATATTTTTTTTTCTCCCCTTGTCTCTTTCTGTTGTCGTGCACGGGCATTCACTCACAGTCGCGACCGGGGAGGCTAAATTCAAGTTCTAAGCCAGAGAGACAGTATTAACAAGGCAGGGCCTCGGTAGGGTAGACGTGACGGAGACTATGTCAGCTGCATCTCATTGCATTACACCTGTTTTTCCCCCGTCTCCACCGGGCGTAGAATAAAGCAGGTCGCCCTCGATATACGGTGTGTTCGCCGGTACCGCCTAGGGCTAGCGTATGGCATGCGCCTGTTGATGATCAGTATTTCTGGCGGGAACTCTTACCGCCACGTGAGTTGGCGTCTAGTCTTGATTTCTTTTGGCGCGCACAACATTCACGGATCGAGTAACTAAGCGGAAATGGAGAACCACGTGACAGGGGGTGTCAGCGTAGGCAAGACGGCGGATGCCGCTAATTTGTGTCTGAAGTCTTCCCCCTGCAAAACTTTGGGCATATTACCAGACAAAAAGCACTCGCTGCAAAGCACGTTACATTATCATTTCATTATGATATCACAACATGACGCTTGTGGTGATAGATGGGGGCTTCTAATCTCGCGCCGGAAAAAATAGTTCCTGGGTCACGAGAGATAATGTTTGGCCGACCCGAGACGTCGTTACCTCACAGTGCCTTTCCCTGTGAGTCTGCTCAACTCGAGTCCTGAATATACTCCCCCACCTCATCATAAATATCCATCAGCGGTACGACAAACGAAAACAAACTGCTGAGACCGCGGTCAAAATCTCTACAAACAACCCCGCTTGGCCTTGACGGCTGGGGCCCGCCGTGTGTGATGTTTTTGGGCTGGTGATTGTGAGCACACACCGAACCCCTCGCACCTACTGGAAGTTCAGCAGGCAGTGAACTGTATTTCATAATTTCCGGCAGTGTGTTTTGCTTCGCAAGTCATCCAGGCGCTGCGAGCCAGTATGTATTATAATTCACCAAGGGATTCACTCAGGTTCGTGACTGTGAGTGGTCGATGTTCAGACAACCCCCCCCTCCCGGTCATTTAGCCAAACAGTCAGTCATTCATTCTGTTAAATCCCGCCAAGCGTACCCTCCAAAAAACAAACTCCGTTACATATCATTTACTTATAAGGCATTTGGAGAAATCTCTGGAGTTCGTACGAGCTAAATCGAAACAGAGACAGAAATCGACATGAATATTGATGATGTCGGATAGTTCGGCTCTAACGTTTTGAAAGAGTCGTCTCCTGCGCCTCCATTTATCAAGCCACTCCCACAGCCCCCCCCCCATTAGGTCGTGTTACCTCTTTGTGTCACCTCTAAACAAAACCCTTTGGATTTCAAGCCTGGCTCCCGACTAATCCACAGCCATGGTCGATGAGGAATTATTGAGCGCGACTGGGCTGAGAAGACCTAGGCCACAATACGGGAAGCGAGAGTAGAAACCGATCCCACTGCATGACCCGGGAAGATTGTCGTAAATTACATGCTCCCCCAAATGGCGCAGAATCTTGCTTCTTTAAAATTTAATTACCAATAAAAGAGGAAAAGTACCTAGGCAACGGCATTGACCTATAAAACGTTCTCTCCCCGAAGGTTTTGCTGGCAGATATATTTATTCCATTCCTTTGCAGTCACGTCGAAAAGAGGTCTCCGTGTTCAGGCAATAAAGACGCATCATAGATATGCAACACACACAAACAAAACATCATGTGTATCTATAATATGAACCTTTAATTGACACAGAAGTACTTACGAAAAAACAGTTTATCTTTGTAATAAAATGAACTCTCGTTTGTTAGATAGAGGAGCACACGTTGAAAAATACATCTGCACCGCACCGTTCAAGAGTTTTAAAAGCGAGACTGCATGTGACAATCTTCTAGAAAGCTTTTTTTTTTTCTCAAAATTCCCCGCCAGACATGGTTCGAGCAAGCTCTTTCATTAAGGTAAATAATGTTCAGACAGGCCTATCAAATGCAGATCTTGTTGGAAAATTACTCCAAACTCAATTCAGTACTCCACATTATGTCATTTCTTGTAGCATCTGCATTCTGATATCCCAACCGAGCAGGCCTCGAAGTTTTCTCGTAACTAAGCGTTGCACCTTAAAAGAACGTGGACCACCAAAGGGTAAACATTTGTTTAGAGTATATTTATGAATTTAAAGTATATGAACAGAAATACGATGGGTCTCTGTATCCTAACACACTACTGACTAGCACACAGGGTATAATTTTACTGCCAATCGAAGACGAAATAGTCAATATAACTTAAGTTCATCTGATAAATGGCACAGGAAAGCAAAGACGCCAAACATACACGCTCTGAACAACTCAAAGGTCACACGTTTATGGAAGGCCGCTCATGGAAATGAATTTCAAGAGTGAACTGAATGTTTCGAATTGCATTTTAACGATCATACACTGAATCATCAATCATTGTTGTCCAGGCTGAGTTGTAAAAGTCGCTCTCCTTCGTTAGTCCCACGGCTGAGCTATAGCTGGCTGCATGATGGCAGAATTTTTGACGTCGGTGAGAAGACAATTCTTGACTGGGAGTCGCCCCCGGGAGAAAAATTCTGTTTTACACCGCATCGGACGCCATGAAATGACGCCGCCGGACCACTACGGCCGGTCTTTTGATCGCGCGCGCTGAATCTTCACGTCGCTTGGAAATTGTCTGGTCAAGCAAGCAATGTCCAGTGCCCAGTGTTCCAATGGCTTACGTTGGTCTTGAGTTAGTTTTCACGTTCATTATTTACCCGTATACAAACCACATTGAACGCTTTTCTATACAACTCCGGGAGAACCTTCTCTACATGTAACCGGCGTGGTAAAGGTTTACAGGCTGTGCTTTGGGAAGCCTCATAATGAAAAACTTGAAATCTTTAAATCTTATAAAAAATGCTTCTCATTTGATCCTCTGTATTGACTTTCCCGCTCCATTAGAATCTTGTGTTATGAATGGCCAAGGGTTTAGACAATAAGAGTCTTTAAATGACGCCAAAACGTCCAATTTGTCATTCGTAGCAGAGGAGAAACAACATTTTGGCAAAACGACCAGTCTGCCTTTTTACTATTTTGTGTGCTGTTGAAAAGAAATTATAAGACTTCAGGAATTGAGATCCCAGGGCATTGTAACCGTAAAGGATTGTTTAAAAACGGCCCTGTGATTTAAATTGGTCAGTCCTGTGTCAGTGTAAGAAGGGCAGATTGTCCGATGGTTTTATGGATAACCATGGAAGTATGTTCCTCCATGGAGTAACTTTATAGTTCCATGCACTTATCATCATTACAACCCCAGAGTGAAATAGTGACCTGAAAAGCTTTGTTGTTAGAGTTATTAATGTAGTCGTTTTAGTTGACGTTGTTGTTGTTGATGATGACGTTGTTGTCTGTTGTTATTCTTGTCGTCATCCTTGTTATTGTAGTCATGGTAACCCCCCCCGTCTTGACCGTCGTCGATTTTGATGCCATTGTCTCTGTTAGTGTGGCATTGCATTTCACTGCAATTACATTTTGACACTTTCCCAATTTGTTTACAACTTCTAAATAAAACCTAGGCGTTGTATGGATAGTCAGGACATTTTGATTCTTGTTACTTCTTGTTACTTCTTAAAGACAATGAGCATCAACCAAATTTCGTGGTTCAGGCTACAGGTGGGCAGAAAGATTTCATCGATTACCGGTAATCTTTTCGGGAGCATTGTGCAATTCCTTCGGGAAATTACTGAGTTGTTTGTTCACCTGTGCTTTCTATTTTGTTGTTATTATCATTATTAAAAGGTTACTTGTTTAATGTACTAGTTGTAGATCTCGGAAAGGGATATTTTCTTGATTGTTTAGCTGGTTTTTCATTCCGGTCTCTGTGCAATTCTGATTTCGCACTGCATGTTCCATGCGCGTACTATTTGTCTCTCTGACGTCACACACGTCATTAGATTTGAGAATCCTGTCTACGATGCGCATTAGCTAGCCGGGGGATTTTAAAGGGTTTACCACAGAGAGCCAGTAGATTCGTCTTTAATGCAAGAGATGACTTTTCTGCATCAGATAGTGACCGAAATCGATTCTTATAGCATGACTTACATTATTTTATTAAAAGGTCTCGCGAATTTTAGGCTATGTAATGCTGTGAAAACTCACAGTGCTCTGTATCTCCGTGACTTTCCAAACTAAACTATCGGGCGTCCCCCAAAAATCGATAATGTTAATTCGAAGATGACATTTGCATACATTGGTTATACTCAAGACAACCAAAGGAATTGTTTTACTGTTCTGAAGACAACGCTAATTCTACTCTTTCTAAACTTCAATTACATAGGCCCACTTGATAGGTAAAAGTGATATAAACTAGATACGATTCCGCCTTCCAGGGAGTCGTTGCTTCCATTTCTGCTCTGGCACGCTTTTTTCTCTTCCTGACATGAAAATCATAACGGAGCAACTGACATTGAGCTTTGGGGGGGGGGCAACGGGAATGCAAGCAATTTGTTTTCAAGAGGCACTGACAGCAAATAAACTGTGGCTTGTATATCGGTTATACACATTTCAAAATATCAGATTGGGAGGGGAGGGGCACTGGCACCCTGGAATACACCCTTTCCGTCCCGTACTGACGTCACTGCTGTCCTTTTACAATCCCTCCCTGGTCTGATAACAAGGGAAAACGGTGTACTGAGAGAAGGACACAGCAAACGGTCTTAAAAACGAAAAGAAAACAAGATTTATTTGGTATCAGACAACATTGTCTAACTCCAAATGAATTGTGTCCAATATACAACCACTTGTGATGGCTTTTTCTTGATTTTCCATGTATAACAAATGAGTATTACTCGAGTCCTTGTAGTGCATGAGGGATACTTAGACCACCGGGCATACTGATTTGCAGGATCTGTCATTTGAACTAATTTTTATAAGCACAGAATGGGTTTTTCTTTTTTTTTCATATACATATTTTGTGGAACAAGATTTTATCCAAGTCTGTTATTTTGCACTTTAGCCACTTTTCCATCGTGATAAGATGAATGCATGAAAATATTCTTGTTTGTACGTAAGCATATACCTAATTTAACCACAGTGGTTGTTTACGTCACCTATGAAAAATGATAAATGAAACCTACAAAAGATGAACTTGATAGTTTATGGGCGGAGCCAAATGCATAGAGGCGAACTATCTGTCAGCCTGCCCCCCTTGAATGAATGAGCTCCCCTCGGCATGTGTGTCCCACTTTAACCACACAAATCCCTCGGGGTATGGGACGGTGTGTGTTACTTCATTCCCGTCCACAGGAGCGACTAGAGACGGTGAGACGGTGAAGAAGGTGCGTCGAGTCGTCGGCACGTTTCAGGCAACTTACACAG